CTTCTATCTGTGTCGGCGCCTCGTCTCCCTCAGTCGCTGCGTTGGGTATGGAACTTCTCAGACCACTTGAGGTAGTAGTCGTCGTTCCTCGGCTGCGTCGAGGCTGGTTCCCATGGCTCGACTTGAGTTAGGATCTGTTCGTTGAGCGGCTCGGGTCGTGCAGTGGAGTAGACCCGTCGGCGTCGGGTGAGGTGGCTGGGTGTTCGTCTTCTGGTGTAGACCTAGCTAGATTGTTCTGGCCCTTCTCGCGGTGGCATTCGCCCCTCTGGGTCTGGGCGCCGTGGTCCTCGGTGTCGGAGATCTCGGAGTCAGGGGTGACAGTGAGCTGGGCTCTTGGGTCATCTTCTTGTGGTGTTATTCCTTGTGGCGCCTGCAAGAGGGTAGCGATTGAGTCGGGGCCGCCGTGCCTGAGCTGGTTGGCGAGGTCGTGGGCGAAAACTGCTTCTCTTTCCTTTTGCAATGCGTGGATCTCTGCTTGGGCGTGGTCGAGCTGTCGGGCATGTTGTTGCATCTGTGCCTCTGTGACACGGTGCTTATTGTGAAGCTGCTGGAGAAGGTGCTCTTGTGACTCTATAAAGGTTTTCGCTGCGTTGAGCTGGTGTTGGTCGTAGTTTATAAGTTCCGCTTGGAGCTCCGCTGTCGCAGCGTTGGCCTCTTTGTGCTGGTGGAGTTGGGCGATGTGGTTCTGCGTGTCCTCTCGGTCCGCCCTTCCAGTGCGTGGATGACTTCGGTCTTGTCCTGGTACTGCTTCTCCTCGGTGTGCATGATCTGCTTTTGCCCGTTCTTGTTCTCGAGGTAGCTGATGCGTTGCTCCGAGAGCTTGTAGGTGTGTTGGATATGCTTGCGGGTCTGGTCCTCGATGTCTACGTTCTTGACTTCCGCTGTTGCGAGTTCTTGTCGTAGCTGTTTTTGTGCGTGCTGTGTTGTATGGAGTCGGCGCGCTGCACTCCGTGTCTGTTGTAAGTCGTTGATGGTGATCTGTTGCTGGTGCTCTAGGTGCTGGATGGCTTCATCTTTCTCTTCCAAGCACTTTTCGAGGTTGTTGTGCTTGATGATCGTATCCGCGACTCGCGGCTGCCGTGGTTGATGTACCTGAAGTCGCGCTTCTTCCAAAGCGTTTTGGAGCTACTCGCTGGTGGCAGCTGTCTCCTGGTAGTTCTCGTGGTATTGCCTTGATTATTGGGAGGTCTTATTGTTGTGGTCGACGGACTGCCGCGCAATGTTGTTAGCTTCGCGGGGCGAGTTTTTCACATTCTCAATGATGGTGATGTCTGTCTCGGTCCTGTGCGCGCTGTGCTCTGCGATCTTCTCGGTCGCCTTCCTGGTGTTGTGGATATCTTTCTTGTGCTCCTCCATCTGGTCGTGCTCGAAGCGCTGGAGCTTGCGGTGGCTTTCCGTTTCGTGCTTGTAGTGGGTCTCCTTCGCTTCTTCGAGCTAGTTGATGATGGATTTTTGTTGTGCGGCATGACTTCGTTGCACTTCAGCTTTCTGCTGTGCTTCTTGGAGTTCTTGTCGTAGCTTTGTTGGCGGTGGAGACCTCCGTAGGTACTTGAGTCAATGGTGAGGCTTGATACGTTTCTCCAATGTATCCTCGGTGCCGCCTCCCGATTTTAGGTGCAGGGGTGTCGGAACGTGGTTGCTGTGTGCGCCTCCTGGGCGTCGTCGCTGATTCGACGTCGGCATCGTCGTCCGAGTCGGCCCCCCTGATGCTGTCGTGGAGCCTTTGAAGCTGGCGATGTCGAGCTCCCAGTAGTGTTTTTTTTGCGGTAGTTCCTCTAGTTGTTGTTGCGCGTCGTCCATCTGGTTGACCGTGTCGTTGATCATGCTCTCAACCTCTCGCCGTTGACCCTTTGCGTCGTGTGAGTATAGTAGCGTGGACTTTTGTAGTTGGATCTTGGTGACGATGCCGTTGAAGTCGTAGTCGTCGTTGGCGTGCCTCTGGATGGTGGTGATGAGGTAGTCGATGTCTGCCTTGCAGTTCTTGCGGTACCCCTTGATTCGGTCGAAGCGGTGCATTGGTGGTGGTTCGTTCCAGTGCTGCTGCCTCCTGGCTTCGGTGAGGGTCATGGGGACGATGTTGGCAGCAGTCTCTCTGCTCTTCTCCTGTCTGCGTTGCACGTTGAGGCTGTGCTGTTGTTGCTTTTGTGCTTGCTGCTGCTGTTGTCCCATGGAGCTGCTGCTGCCCGTGCCGCGGGTGCCGTCACGGCTGCGGGCGCGCCATTGTGTCCGAGGGGCTCCTGAGGTCTCCCCTTGGTGTTGCTGGTGTCGGTGCTGGTGCTGCTGCTGATGCCTTTGGCGATTGTGGTAGCTGCCAACTGGAGTCTGAACCATCTTGGGCGCCATTGTGGTGGCGGGTGGTCTAGATGGTTGTTGGGCGCTGTGGTGGACTGCGAGTAGTTGTCGTGCTCGGTCCAGTCGTAGTAGTACGCGTGCGTCGGTGCGTTCCCGTTGTAGTCGTCGATGCCAGGCAGGGCTGCGCTGGCGTGTTGAGGACCTCGTGGTAGGCGAAGTCGGCGAGGACATCGAGGTATACCAGGAAGCCGATGTAGGCGGAAGCCCTGGCAGGGATATCGTTGGCCGGAAGGACACAATGAATGTGGGGAGCAGGTTGCAGTATGGGAAGTGTGGCCGCGCTCTGCGTGGCCTCGGGGAGCCTCCTGGCCCCAACGCCTCTCCTTCTCCTTCTCCTCCTCCTCGGGTCGCCTACGGCCCGGGGGAACCGTGCACCTCACAGTGGGGGCCCATGCCAAGAAACACCCTGCCTGCCTCCGGGGTGCCCTGGGCTTCCTGGGTCTCGATGGCTTTGCGAGGGAGGGCGCGGCGTCCCCGCACCAGAGATCGAGGGACGTCCTGGGGTCTCGGGGTTGGGTCTCGTGTGTAAGGTTTCTCGTGGGATTGTTGTGGAAGGTTTCTTGTGGAAGGTTTCTTGTGGTCGAGCCCCTGCTGCGCAAACCGTTTTTTCAGGACTGCGTGAGCCTCGGGGTGTTCATATGACGTGCTGAGGGCACGGTGGCGGCTATGCGTGCGCATGTGTACACAAGGGGCGTTCCAGAAAAAGGGTTTCGCCTTCGAGGATAGAAGGGATTTCCCTCGCTTCCGCGGCGGAAGGCGGCGGAAGTAGAACGAGGCCGCCTCCGCCAGCGGAAGGCGGTGGATGCGGCTTTCCAGAGAAAAGGTCCTCGCCTTCGAGGACAGAAGGAGTTGCCATCGCTTCCGCGGCGGGAGGCGGCGGGGGTAGAAGCGAGGCCACCTCCGCGGGCGGAGCACGCGGCGGAAGGGGGGGGGGCGGGCAGGTGGCGGGCGTAAGGTATAGTCGCCCCCAAGAGATGCGCCCGTGTTTGGGTCCAAGGTTTCCGAAATCGCCCATATATGGGGCGTTCTCAAAAAAAGGCCTTGCCTTCGAGGGTGAAAGGAGTTGTCATCTCTTCCGCCGCGGAAGGCGGCGGAAGGTCGGCGGCGGCGGAAGTAAAACGAGGCCGCCTCCGCGGGCGGAACCTGCCGGAAGCTCGGCGGAAGGCGGCGGAAGTAAAAACACGCTTCCCAATAGATGAAAACGTTTTTGGGTTCAGGGTTTCCGAAATCGCCCGTACATATATATATATATATATATACATATATATATATGTTTGTACGTATCTCCGTCCTTTCTGCTCTCTGGGCGACTACCTCAGGGCTGCTAAGCACACGTGCCATGCTCATGTGTTTAGTCGCTTGTGTTCGTGCGCTCTCGCTGCAGCGTGGTGCTTCCAGCTCGCCTACCAGGCTGCCGTTGCACGGCTCCTTTGTGTGGTTGGCCCTTCTTAGGCCGCGTGATGCCTTCTTGCTCAGTGCCCCGCTCGCCGGGGCCTATGAATTCCCTGGGGTACTTCGTGTCGGCGGCCTTTGCCCATGGTGCTTCAATGTCCAGCGACGCCTTCTTGCTCAGGGCCCGTTCGCCCCCCTCGTCCTGGTCATCCTGCTCCTCCTCCTCCTTGGGGCCTATGAATTCCCGGGGTACTTTCGTGTCGGCGGCCTTTGTCCATGGTGCTTCAATGTTTCGCGGCATCGGAATATTGTGTCGGACTTCCTACGGTTGAGGAGCTGTTGATGGATTGTTTTTTGGTGGACTCACATCTTTCGCGCCCCCATCTTGCTTTTGCACGTTCACCATTAGCACGGGACGGTAGGACTATACAGGTCGTCAGAGCCAACCGAAAATGTTGCCACTTGTTTGGGAGCGTTACCGGCGGTGCCATGTAAGTGGCGCAGTGAAATTCGCCCGCGTTTGTCTTCTCGGTCCGGGGTTCGATGGGCGTCGAAACCATCGCTTTTATCACAGATCGCGGCCTCATGATCGCGGACCTGTCGTTTCCGACGAGGGATCGTGGCCTCGGGAGCGTGAGTCCACAGTTTTGGCGAGGGATCGTGGCATCGGGAGTGCGGATTTCGTTCTTGACGAGGGATGGCGGCACGGGAGCGAGGATCTTTTCTTTCCGAGAGAAAGGAAGGGACGGCGGTGCATGCCAGCGAGTGTGACCCCGGAGGGGGGAGGGGGCTCGAAGATTGCAAGAGCCCTGCCCCCAGACATCCGGCTGTTCCAATTTTTGTCGATGCGTGGGCCCCGGAGGTCCAGACTACTTCCCCGGGGCCGGTTTTTCGTCTTGAATCATGTCTTGACGCTCCCAAGGCCCGGCGAGGGCCCCCGGAGGCTGAAAATTGCCCAAATCCGGCTGCTCCATTTTTTTTGGAGCGTGGGATCTTTGGGCCAGACAGCACCCGTGGCACTGTGGCGGAATCTTTGGCGGCAGGCGCCCTGCTCCTCCGAGGTGCATCTGCCACGTGTCGGTAGCCTTCAGTCGGGCGTGTCCCTCTACAGGAGGGATCTTCAAAAACAGTCCAAACATAGTCAGGGGATGATGTTTTGATTTTTTGTTACAAGAAAACATGTGTTCGTAACATTCCATATTTCGTCAAACATCCGCCTGCAGGAGGACGTGCCCGACCTAACCGTGGCCTTCTGGCTCGAGGCCCTCCCGGCCCGTCGCGGCGGGGCGGCGCGGTCCTCCCGAGGACCGTGCGGGGTATGGCAGCGGCCCCGCGGCGCTCCTGCTGGACAGGTTCTCCACCACCACCACCACCACAAGTTGGAGGGGAGGAGGAGGAGGAGGAGGAGGAGGAGGAGGAGGAGGAGGAGGAGGAGGAGGAGGAGGAGGAGGAAGAAGAAGAAGAAGAAGAAGAGGAGGAGGAGGAGGAGGAGGAGGAGGAGGACCCCCTCCCCCTCCAACTCATGGTGGTGGTGGTGGAAAACAGGCCCATCAGCTCAGGAGGAGGAGGAGGTGGAGGTGGAGGTGGTTGTGGATGAGGAGGAGGAGGGAGAGGAGGAGGGAGGTGGAGGACCCCCTTCCCCTCCAACTCGTGGTGGTGGTGGTGGAAAGCAGGCCCATCAGCCCCGGCTCGTGGCAGGGCCGCCGCGAGGGCAGAGCCCGCGTCGGGCAGCGCCGGTGGGCGGCGCGCGGGGATCGCCGCCGGGAGCGGTCCGGGCCCAAGGTGCCCCGCCCCAGCCCTTCGCGCAGCTCTGAAATCGACGTCGCCCCAGCATGCTGACACAGACATGCTCGCGTCGTACCAAAAATCAGGACGAAGGTTTCTCGCCGGGCCCCGGGACCGTCAGAAAACGACTCAGGACGAAAAACCGGTCCCGGGGAAACGGTCGGGACTTCCAGGGACGCCGTGCTGAAAAAATCAGGACGTCGCATGTTTGGGAACACTATTTGTGCGTCGCCTCCTGGGGCGATGCGCGCACCGAGAAATCTTGTGTGTATATATATATATACATATATATATATATACACACACATATCTGCGTCGTGGCGGGCGCTTTCTGGCCACGCCGCTCGGGAAACGATAATTCTATAGGATCCAGTGTACTATCTGTTCGGGTCGGACGCGCGCCTCCAAGGAGGACATCTGGTAGTACTGTATGCGTCTGTGCAGCCCATGAAGCTTCTGGGGCCCTCTGGAGCCTCGTAGGAGTCGGGGGCAACGGTAGGGGGGGATAGGCATAGGGGATGCAACGACCCCCAATCTCCCATTGATCGCCGATGGAGGCCCGACCAACCCGCCCAGGAAGGTGCGGAGTCGCTATCGGGGGCCTATCGCCGATCTGTTGACGATGTATCGCCGATTCCAGGTCGATGCATCCCCCCCTATACCTATCCCCCCCCCAGCGCTGCCCCTCAACGCCAGCGAGCGATGGGGGGGAAGTGAGAAGGAGAAGGCCTTCCCAGGAGGAGGCGGCGGCACTCCTCACAAGGCCTCGCGCCTTCTGAGAAGTCTCCTCTGTCTTCGGGGAAGGCTGGGAGAACTCCTCAGAAGGCCGGGGCGCTGCTGCGTTCTCAGGTGGCCGCCCCTTCCCCCCCCCCCCCTCCCCCCTCCTCGCCCTACAGTGGAAGCCCATGCCAGGGTGCCCTCGGTTTCTTGGGCGTCGATGGTCTTGCAATGGAAAGCGTGACCGTCGCACACCAGCAATCAGTGGACGTCCTGGGTCTCTGGGTTGGGATTCTTGTGGAAGGTTTCTTGTGGTCGGGCCCCCACTGTACGGAGGAGAGGGGGGAGAAGTGGCGTTGCCACCCCGGGGTCTCGACCTAAACAGTGCTTTGGCGCTTTCGTGGGCCGTTTTCGTTTCGACTTTGTTTTGACGCAGCGGCGGAGCGAGACCTTCTGCGCGCCGTTTGCGCGCCGCTGGCCCAGACCTTCCGACGACTTGCTGTGCACCCCCAGGCCTCCCGACCCCTTCCGCGGGCCCAGTGTTCCCCCTTGCGGTCTTTTTGCTGGCAGCTCATAGTCAGGAGGGAACAAAACACACAGACACAATTAATCGTCGATTCCCCGGAAAATATTGGAAAATATGGGAAATGGGGGGAAGACAAAAACCTAGAACATATGGGAAAATATGTGGAATCCTGTTATGTGTGCTTATTTATTTGTGTGTCCCAGGGCCCTTCACATAGCTCGTGGGGCCCAGAAGCGGCGGCCCAGACGCCGAAGATGGCGAAGGGCTTCCGGTGCGCCTTCTTCGAGACACAGAATAATGATGGGAAGCGGGGCCCTGCACCGCAAGAATCTACCCATATCCACCGCCTAGGAGTCGTGCTCCGCGGGACCTCGAGGGCTTCGGGAGGAGTGGCGAGCTTGGACATCTGCTCACCCCAGCGGGCGGGACAGCATCCGCATGCAGCGATCCACGGGGATCCAGGGCAGGACTCCAGAAGCTGTGGATGTGGGTATCTCCTGTCGGTGCATGCGGCCCCTGCACCGTCAACAAAACTACCTCAGGCTGGAAGGCCAGTCTCAAAGGAACGGGTCGGAAACTTCTGGGGTCTAGGTGCTGCCCTGAGATCCGACGTTCTGCGAACTTTTGCGGCATCGCGGAACATCAGGACCGGAGCCCCAGACCCTCCCCACCCCCTCCATAATGCCCAGTATCGCCGAAAATCAAGACACGCGCTCCCCTGGGTCTTCACGACGCGAACCTGCCGCACGCCCGGACCGCTCGCGGCCCTTCTATGACGAACCAACAACGCACACCCACATCCATAGGGGGGGGGGTCGGAGAGGGCTATGGGTGCGTGTTGTCGGATGGGGGTCCCCGCTCGAACTGGAGCGTTCCCCAGGGTCCGTCAACCCGCACCCATACCCATAGCCAGTCCTCCTCCCAACGACCCCCTGTTTTGGTATGTGTGTGTTGTTCGTTCGTCAGAAGCTTCTAGGGGGGGAGGCCATGCTGGCGGACCCGGGGGACCCGCGCTGCACGCCGAGTGCGGTGGACCTTGTCCTGGCCAGCCCGGCGGTGGCCGCCGCGCAGCGGCTCGCGGCGGGCGGCCCCGAGGCCGCGTTCGCGGATCGGGCCGGCGTGCGCCGCTTCCTGCGGGCCAGCGAGGGCAGCGTGTCAGGCGCTCCGAAGAAGCTGGAGCGGTGGGTTTTGTAAGGAAGCGAAGTATCACACAAACATAAGAGCTCGGAGGTCCGCGCGGATTTCTTGGATCCGCGCTGGACCCCCCCGGCGGCGCCTCCGGCGCCGCCCCCAGCGCGCTCCGCGCGCCAGGGAGGGGGGTCCAGCGCGGATCCAAGAAATTCGCGCGGGCATCCGAGTTCTTGTGTTTATGCCATTTTTCGTTCCCCTATTTTGGGCCGTTTTCGGCCTCCAGGGGCCCTCGCCGGGCCTCGGGAGCGTGAAAGAACGACTCGGGGCGAGACACCGGCTCTGGGGAAGTGGACGGGACCTCCAGGGCCCGCGCATTGAGAAAATTGGAGCGGCTGGATGTCTGGGGTGTCAGGAGGGAGCAGGCTTTCGTTGCGTCTTTTCCGGCCCCGACCCAAGCCTCCAGGTCGGTTTTGGAGGTCGCCGCGGCGAATGCGGCGGCCACAACTCGGGGCAAGGTTTTTGTCAAGGGGTTGCATGCCCCTTCCCAGCCCCACATCCATCAGCTCTGCGATGTAGACGTGGCTCATTCTGAGCCATATAGCGACAGAGAGTTGTTAGTTTATGCCCAGCATGTGCAGTCATGTTTTTGTTCCCAACCATCCTGTGGTGTTGGGTCTTCGTTTTGAAGAGACGGTCCCCGCGTTCCTCCTCCCCCTTCTCCTCCTCCTCCTCCTCTTCCTCCTCCTCCTCCTCCTTCTCCTCCTCCTCCTCCTCCTCCTCCTGCTCCCTAATTAGGTTTCACCCACCCATTGCACCGTTTCGTGGCCCCACAGGGAGCTCCACCGAAGCCCCCAGTCGGACCGCCCGCATGCGTCCCCGAAACCCAATTCTAGATGCTTCGCGTATCCCCACCAGTCTGGCGTTCTTGCTGACTCCCTGGATTGCACGCTCGCCTGGCCTCTCAGACGCCCTGGGTCGCTGCCCCCCCCCCGCCGCCTGACCCGCGGCCCCCGCGCGCGCCCGGGAGGAATTTAGTCGCGGCCGCAGCCCGACCGTGACCGCCCGCCGTCGGCGCTTCCGCCTGCGGCTGTAAACAAAAAATCCCCACCAGCCTCGGCTCTCCTCGGTGGCTGACCTCTCAGACTCCCTGGATGTGCCGTTGCATGTTCACCTCAGGGGCTGCCCGGCAGACTCCCTGGATTTGCACGCCCTGGTTTCTCAGACGCCCTGGGTTGCCGCTGCCCGCCGCCTGACCGCGGCCCCGCGCGCGCCCGCCCCCTCGTCGCGGCCGCAGCCCGACCGTGACCGCCTGCCGCTGGCGCTTCCGCCTGCGGCCGTTAAAAAAAATATCCCCACCAGCCCGTCCAGAAACGACGCCCAGGCGAGTAGAGGGTCGTCCTGAGGGGCTTTTCGGCGTCTTGGGTGCCTCGGGGGGGCCTCTGTGGGCCGTTCGGGATCCTCTTTGGGGCCTCCTGGGGGCCTTTTGGGGCCTCTTGGGGCCATCTTGGGGCCTCTTGGGGGTCTCTTGGGGGCCTCCTGGGGGCCTCTTGGGGGGCCTCTTGGGGCCATCTTGGGGCCATCCTGCGGCCTCTTGGGGCATCCTCGGGGCCTCTTGCGGCCATCGTGGAGGAAATCGATCAAAGAAGAGGGGAGCCTTAATTAGCGTTGCCCCCTGAAAAGGCCAACATGGGGCCAAAACCATAGTAACATCAATGTTTTGGCTTTCTCGCCGAGGCCGTTTTGGACGCTCTGACCGCTCCCCGCCCCTCCTGTCCAGGTCAGTGGGGAGGGGATAGGGGGAGGGGTAAACCCCTCCCCGAAGGGGAAGAGGGAGGGGTGGAAGAGGAAACGCTCTAAACCACCGACGCCCAGAGGGCTGGTGGGATTTGGCATTTTCTCTCGCCCAGTACAGCGCTTCGTGGCCCCATAGGGAGCTCCACCGAAGCCTCCAGCGGGACCGCCCGCATGCGTCCCCGGCTGCGTCCCCGAAGCACAATGTGGCATTTCTACCCACCCAGTGCAGCGCTTCGTGGCCCCATCGGGAGCTCCACCGAAGCCCCCAGTGGGACCGCCTGCATGCGCCCCGGGGCATTTTCACTCACCCAGTGCAGCGTTTCGTGGCCCCATAGGGAGCTCCACCGAAGCCTCCAGTGAGACCGCCCGCATGCGTCCTGGAAGCCCAATGTGGCATTTTCAGACGCCCAGTGCAGCGTTGCGTGGCCCCATAGGGAGCTCCATTGAAGCCCGCAGTGGGACCGCCCGCATGCGTCCTGGAAACCCAATTGGGCATTTTCAGACACCCAGTGCAGCGCTGCGTGGCCCCATAGGGAGCTCCACCGAAGCCCCCAGTGGGAACGCCCGCATGCGTCCTGGAAACCCAATTGGGCATTTTCAGACACCCAGTGCAGCGCTGCGTGGCCCCATAGGGAGCTCCACCGAAGCCCCCAGTGGGACCGCCCGCATGTGTCCTGGAAGCCCAATTTGGCATTTTCAGACACCAGTGCAGCGTTTCGTGGCCCCATAGGGAGCTCCATTGAAGCCCGCAGTGGGACCGCCCGCATGCGTCCTGGAAACCCAATTGGGCATTTTCAGACACCCAGTGCAGCGCTGCGTGGCCCCATAGGGAGCTCCACCGAAGCCCCCAGTGGGAACGCCCGCATGCGTCCTGGAAACCCATTGGGCATTTTCAGACACCCAGTGCAGCGCTGCGTGGCCCCATAGGGAGCTCCACCGAAGCCCCCAGTGGGACCGCCCGCATGTGTCCTGGAAGCCCAATTTGGCATTTTCAGACACCTAGTACAGCGTTTCGTGGCCCCATAGGGAGCTCCACCGAAGCCCCCAGTGAGACCGCCCGCATGCGTCCTGGAAGTCAATGTGGCATTTTCACTCACCCAGTGCAGCGCTTCGTGGCCCCATAGGGAGTTCCACCGAAGCCCCCAGTGGGACCGCCCGCATGCGTCCCGGAAGCCCAATTTGGCATTTCCTTCCGCCCAGTGCAGCGTTTCGTGGCCCCACAGGGAGCTCCACCGAAGCCCCCAGCGGGATCGCCCGCATGCGTCCCGGAAGCCCAATGTTGCATTTTCACTCACCCAGTGCAGCGCTTCGTGGCCCCATAGGGAGCTCCACAGAAGCCCCCAATTCCGCAGTTCGCACGCGTCTCGAAACATCAAATTTGGCACGTTCACCCCCCCAGTACAGCGCTTCGTGGCCCCATGGGGAGCTCCACTGACGGCCCCAGTGCTACCGCCCGCATGCGTCCCCCCCCACCCAGTGCAGCGCTTCGTGGCTGCATAGGGAGCTTCACCGAAGAATATATTTTCACAATTGCAGTGCCCACATCTGCATATGGTTGGGTCCTTCGCCAGGATAATTTGGTTAGGGTCGATGATCATGCACCTGGGATCGAGGATCGAGCATCGAGGCTTGGGATTCGGGGATCGAGGATCCGTGGCCGAGGTTCCAGGGTCGGTGCTCGAAGATCGATGGTCGAGGGTCTGGGCAGGGGAGGGGTCGGGTGGGCGTCCAGGTGAGCGCGCCCTGCGGCGCAGGTGCCTTCGTCGTCGCCCGCCAGTCCTGCCTCGGACTCGGCACGGAGCTGGCGGGGCTGACTGGATTGAGGCACTGCGTCGGCGGGGGATCGGCAGCCGCGAGAGTCGAAGAGAACTTTTGGCGCTCAGCGCGGCTCCAAGACATCCGCGCGAAGCGCCAAAAGTTTATGATTAGGGTTTTTTCTCTTCTCCTAGAGAGGAGGGTCGAGGATCGGCGAGAGGGAGGCTGTAGGATTAAGTCGGGCGTTTCCCTCTACAGGAGGAGTATTCAGAAATAGTTACACAGTAGTCAGGGGACGATTGTTGAAGTATTTATGGCACGTTTTTTTTTTTTGTTATATATAATTCCCAATCGTCCTGTGGTGTTGGGTCCTCGTTTTGAAGAGACAGCGCCCCGCGTCACCCCCTCCCCCTCCTCACTCCTCCTCCCCTTTCTCCTCCTCCTCCTCCTCCTTCTCCTCCTTCTCCTCCTCCTTCGCGAGGTACTGGTGATGTGCCATGAATGGTGTCGGGGGGAACCTGAGTTGCTTTCCCAGCCATCCTGTGGTGTTGGGTCATCGTTTTGAAGAGACAGCGCCCCGCGCGACTCCTCCCGCTGCCCCCTCCGCAGGGTCCACATGCCGGGGCCGCCACCTATTTTGGCACCCCCCTCACACGGTGCGTGGCCCCACAGGGAGCTCCGCCGAAGGCCCCAGTGGCACAGGCCGCTTGCGGGGACCGCCACCCATTTTGGCACCCCCCTCACACGGTTCGTGGCCCCGCGGGGAGCTCCACCGAAGGCCCCAGTGGCACAGGCCGCATGCAGGGACCGCCACCCATTTTGGCACACCCCTCACACTGTTCGTGGCCCCACAGGGAGCTCCGCCGAAAGCGATAGCCACAATGCGGTACTCGCAGCTGCATGTGGTTGGGTCTTTCGTCAGGCTATTCTTTCATTTGTCGTCCAACATCCCCGTGTAGGAGGGCACGCCCGACCTGAGTCTAGGATCGAGGTTCTGAGCGTTTCTCTGGCCTGTCTGGCCATGCTGCCCGAGAGACGCGGTGCAGGCTGCAGTCCTGCCTTGACCCGGGGGCTGATATCAGGGCACCTCTCCACTTCTCCGAGGCTTCCGCCCGTCTGGCCTCGAGCCAAGCTGTCCACGAAAGAGGAGGGGGATGAGGATGAGGAGGAGGAGGGGGAGAAGGAGGAGGAGGGGGAGGATGAGGAGGAGGAGGAGGAGGAGGAGGAGGAGGAGGAGGAGGAGGAGGAGGGGGAGGAGGAGGAGGAGGAGGCGTATGAGGAGGAGGAGGAGGAGGAGTGGGACTGGAGGAGTGGGACGGGGAAGTCGGACAGGCCTTGGAGGAAGATGCGCCTTTCCAGAGCAGTCTGGGATTTGCTCAGAACGGCCGCGGCGCCCGATAGGTCCTCCAGATCTGCTGGCTCCTGGACATGCCCGACTTCTCTTATCCCAGTTTTATCTTGTTATTGCCGTCGTCTCGTAGCGCAGGAGGAGGAACACATGATGGTGATGACGATGATGATGAGGATTATGATGATGCTGATAATGATGATTAGGAGGATGCTGAATCTGAAGATGATGATGAGGATGAGGATGCGGATAATGGTGATAACGATGTCGATGACGATGTCGATGACGATGACGAGGATTCTGCAGATGATGACGATGTGCACGACGACGACGATGATGATGTTGGCGGTGATGATGGTGATGATGCTGTTGTTGATGCTGATGCTGATGGTAATGCTGATGATGATGGTAATGATGATGATGGTGGTTGTGATGATGATGCTGATGCTGATGATGATGATGCTGATGCTGATTATGATGATGTTGATTATGATGATGCTGCTGGTGATGATGATGATGATAATGATGCTGATGGTGATGATGATGCTGATGCTGCTGATGATGAAGATGATACTGATGATGATGATGATGATGCTGCTGATGATGATGATGATGATGATGATGATGAGTATGATGATGATGAGGGGGATGATGATGATGATGATGATGCTGCTGATGATGATGATGATCATGATGCTGATGCTGATGATGATGCTGGTGACGATGATGACGGTTATGCAGCTGAATGTCTTTAGGTTGATGGTGATGCTATTGATGAGTTGTTATTTCGAATGATTTATCATTGTTGACCCCCCAGCGCCCATTGTGCTTATTCAATGAACGTGCCCCACCCAGGGCTCGCACCCTGGGTTGTTGCCCCCCGAACTACAGCAACAACCCTCCTCCCCCCTTCCCTGTTTTAGGGGCTGCGCCAACTACACGTGGCAGGCAAGAAGATATACCCCGAAGTGCAGTCGAAGACGAAGAGGCTGGGTATGGAGGGGTTGGGATATATAGGCTGAGTGACATGCGAGCAGAGCGAACAGACTTACGATGAGTGCTGTTGTCGTCGTCGTCGTCGTCGTTGTGTTGTTGTTGTTATTGTTGGCGTTGTTGTTGTTGTTGTTGTTGTTGTTGTTGTTGTTGTTGTTGTTGTTGTTGTTGTTGTTGACGTTGATGCTAGTGCTGATGGTGGTGACGATGCGAATGAGGAGGGCGGACAGGATGACGAGGAGGTGCGCCTCTGCGCCAGGGGCGGCGGCCGGCCTGGCAAGGACGCTCGAATGGCGGGTGCGGGAGCGGCCTCGGGACGTCGTGTGCTCGGCCTGCTCCCGGACGCCGCTGAGCCACAGCATGCGAATCGTGGGCGTTGACGCGCTCGGCCGCCCCGTCAGGGGGCCACATGCGAACCCTACCCCTGCCCCCCACGATTTCTGAGGGGGAGGGTGGGGTTCACTTCGTTCGGGAGCTCCCGAGCGAAGTGAAACCCACCGTCCCCCTCAGAAATCGTGAGGGGCAGGGGTAGGGTTCGCATGTGGCCCCCTACCCGTGGTTTTCTCAGACTTCTCCCAGGCGCTGCACCGCTTTGACCCCAGGGAGAGCATGGAGCACGTGACGCGCACGCTGGAGGACGCCGTGGCGATCCTCGACCGCCGCGCCGGGGAGGGCGGCCGGCCGACCGGGCCAGCCGCCGAGACCTGCGTCTGGGTGATCGACTTCAACGGCTACTCGATGCTCAAGGACTCGAACCCGCGGACGGGGCTGCTGGCTGGGCGGCTCCTTGCACATTACCCGGAGCGGTTGGGCTGCGCCCTCCTCGTGGATGCCCCGCAGTCTTTCGAGCTGACGTGGGCTGCCGTGCAGCGCGTTGTGAACCGAGTGACCGCTTCGAAAATCGTCTTCGTGCGCACAGATGACGGGACGGCGCGGAAGGAATTGTCGAAGTGGGCAGGGCGGCCGCTCGAGGAGTGGCTGGTGAGGGAGTTTTCTGAGAACCGCAAAGTGGCAGGCAGTGGCGGCCACAGGCAATACTGGAGTCCGCGTCTGCCTGATGGATCGCTCAAAGACCACGACCCCCGCGGCGAGCAGTCGTTCGTCGATTCTGCCGATTTCGCGCTGACGCTCACCAGCCGCCTGCAGGGCAGCCCCGCCTGCTCCTCTGTTGAGCCCGGTGAAAGTCGTGTGCCTGGCCGGCGCTGGCTGCCCAGGCGCTCTCCACCGCACCCAGGGCTGGCCCTGACTGTGGCGGTGATGGCGGCCTCCATCGCGGCCGTGCCGTTGCGCGCGTGCTGGTGGTGGCATCAGGGGCCTGAGAGGCAGGCCCAGGCGACCCGCACGGTCGCCGCCGTGGTCGCCCTGGCTGCGGGGGCTGCCGCCGTGGCCGCCGTGGCCGCCGTGGTCTCCGCCTCCACCTCTCGGGGGCGACCCCGTGGAGCCTCCCCAGAGGCCCGCCCGCTGGCGCCTCGCCCGCCTCGGGCCTGCCGCCCGGTGCCGAGCTCCCCCGACGCCGACGCCGGCGCGAGCCTGTGCTGTGGCCTCCAGTGCTGCTTGGCCCTCGGCAGAAACTGCACACAACGCCTCCCGGCGACCCGCCAGAGGCGCTGCGTCTTGGGCCCCCAGAGGTCGGGCAGAAGCAGGGGGCAGGCAGGCAGAAGCAGGGGCAGGCCGAGGCAGAGGCAGGAACGGAGAGAGGAATCCCCGCGCCGATTTGGGGGCTCGGTGAGCCTTGCGTCTGATGGGGCATCCCACCATGGCGATCCGCCAGAAACGCTGCGTCTTGGGCCACCAGAGGTCCTCGAGTGAGCAGCGTGAGCACGTCACGACGCGACACTGCCATCGTCCGTCTTGGTCGAGCGACGAAATCAATACATATCACTGCTCCCTGGCCAGGCCCATCCTGAACCCAGGAACTGCGTGTTCGCCCTCCTGGCCAAACAGCGAGGGTGTGGCGTATACACCGCTGCTGGGTTCAGGATGGGCCCGGCCAGGGAGCGGTGGAAATGTGTAGATTTCGTCGCCCTACTTGGCCGCCCCCCCCCCCGCGCGCAGCGTTCGCCAACGGCAGCAGCCAGAACTCGGGCAACAGCATCACGGACACGCCAACCACGAGGGTGGCCGCCCCGCCAGGCACGTACGGGGAGAAGGGGGGGGGGAGCAGGGCCGCAGGGCCCGATGAGGAAATGAGGAGGAGGAGGTGGAGGAGGAGGAGGAGGAGGAGGAGGAGGAAGAGAAGGAGGAAGAGGAGGAGGAGGAGGAGAAGGAGGGGCAGGAGGAGGAGGAGGAGGAGGAGGAGGAGGAAAAGGAAAAGGAGGTAAGGGTGGACGAGGATGATGGGGGGAGGAGGAGGCGTATGAGGAGGCGGAGGAGGAGAAGGAGGTGGAGGAGGAGGAGGAGGAGGGGCAGGTCCGTAGCCATTTTGGCTCAAGCCGTTGCCCGAAGCCGCCCTTTGTCGTGTCGTCTGAAAGGGCGTACTCGGTGAGGGCCCAAGTTGCCAAGCAGCAGGGCAGGCGCCCCCTCCCTGGTCGGAGACCAGGTGCAGTTCTTCTCATCACAGACCCTCGTCATTTTGTCTGAGGGCCGCCATGTCCCATGAAGCCGGTGCGGGAGTCAAGCGCGAGCTTGCATCTTCGGCTTCTGCGGGTGCTGGCAAAGGTGCTGGTGGCGAGCAGCGTGGCAGCATGCATCCTAGCAGCGCCCCCCGATCCGACGGAGAAGGAGGCCTGTCGCTGGAGAGCCTGCACAACTACGTGGACACGACCCGCAACGAGCTGCTCGACGCCATCAACCAGATCGAGGCCCAGGCTGGACAGATGGCCCAGGCCTCTGCTGCCCTGTCAGCTACCGTCCGCACCACCTACGACCAGCTGTCCAAGCGTGTGGAGGTGCGAGTGGCCCAGACTGAACAAAGGCTGGGAGAACACGATGGCAAGATTCAGAAACTCGAGGAGAGGTGCAGCAGTACAAGTGATCGGTGAAGTGCGTGCTGACAAACCCGCGGTCAAGATCCGTGATGCGGCATTCGACCGAGACATCGACCCGACGATCATCCTTATACGCTCGAAGGGGCTCTTGGCACGACAGAATATGCTCAATTGTTTTCAAAGTTGGCTTGACATATGTAACTTGGACACTTCAGACTATGAGATTGGTGGTGATCCTGTCTCTCGGCGACTTACTCTTCAGATGTATGGCAATACCTCGTATGCTTCTAGAAAAGTGGCGCAAGCCTTGGGTGCGTTGCGCAAGGCTGACGGCACGTGGGATCGTTTCAAAGCTACGGATGCAAAAAATGTGGAGTCCGAGATCTACATCTCGGGTGACAAGAACCCCGCGACCATCAAGCGCGAGCTCGGCCTCAAAGTTGTACGGCGTGAGCTGGCCATCCTGGCCCCGCAGCTCAAGCTCTTTTCGGACAAGGAGTCTGGCGAGATCTCGTCGGGCTGGAAACCTCTGGTCAAGCTGGTTCCTCATCCTGGTGACTCTCCTCCTTCTTTCTCTTTCTGTGCTGCCAACATCCAGGCCCTGGGGCTCAACAGAGATGAGCTTGCGGCGCGCCTCGACGGATGCTTCCCCAAGCAGTCCGACACGGAGTGGAGCCTTGCACACTATCCTCTCGGCCTGGAGAGGCCCTGGGTGCCCTGACTGGCCGTTGCAGTTCTTGTCCTGGAATACTCGTGCGTTGTTTCATCACCAGATAGCTAGGCGTTCTCTCAATCTATCGTACCTCAAGAAGTATTGGAGAGGCCTGACGGCCGGCGCCGCCGACCCTGATCGAAAGGGCTAGGAGTGGGAGGAGGAGGAGGAGGAGGAGGAGGAGGAGGAGGAGGAGGAGGAGGAGGAGGAGAGGAGGAGGAGGAGGAGGAGGGGGGGGAGGAGGAGGGAAGGAGGGAGGGGGAAGGAGGAGGAGGGGGAGGAGGAGGAGGTGAGGAGGAGGAGGAGGAGGAGGAGGGAGGAGGGGGAGGGGAGGAGGAGGAGGAGCAGGATGAGGAGCACGAGGAGGAGGAGGAGGAGGAGAGGAGGAGGAGGAGGAGGAGGAGGGAGGAGGAGGAGGAGGAGGAGGAGGAGGAGAGGAGGAGGATGAGGAGGGGGAGGAGGTGGAGGAGGAGAGGAGGAGGAGGAGGAGGAGGAGGAAGAGGAGGAGGAGGAGGAGGAGGAGGAGGAGGAGGAGGAGGGAGGAGGGAGGAGGAAGTGCATCCTTTGTGTGCCCGCTCGAAGAAAGTGCGCCCCGGGAGTGTGATATTCTGAGTTGGGACGTGCTCCCGGAAGAGGAAGAAGTGCATCTCGGGCGTGCCCGCTCGAGGAAAATGCGCCCTGGGGGGGTGGTATTTTGACTCGGGGCCCGCTCCCGGGACGCCCCTGCGGGAGGAGGAGGAGGAGGAGGAGGAGGAGGAGGAGGAGGAGGAGAAGGAGGAGCGGAGCAGGAGGAGGAGGAGGAGGAAAAGGAGGAGGAGGGGGACCAGGAGGAGGAGGAAGTGCATCCCGTGCGTGCCCGCTCGAGGAAAGTGCGCCCCGGCGGGCGTCGTATCTGGCCCGGGACCCCCCCCCCTGCGGGGAAGGGATCAAAGGGAAGGGGTTTCCCTTCGACTCCACTAGGACGTCGTTTAATTTCGCTTTGGGTAGCGCGCTTGAGGAGGAGAGCCTTGGGAGGGGGAGAACGGAGACGACGGAGACGACGAGTCGAACGGAGAAACCCCTCACACACGCCGACAGGGTCGGCGGATTCACGCGCAAACAGTATTTGTGCATTGCAGGAATGCCATGGGACGAGGGCCGAGTTAGACGATTCCCTGTATCACTCCCACATCCCCTTCATCGGCTTCTCCTCCTTCATCCGCGGCCACAGCGCCGGCGGTGTCGTGACTCTCGTGCCCTCGTTCACCCACTGAGGTGAGCGTGCTCCGCGTATCTTCTCGGAGGTGGTGGTGGAGGGTCGTGTTCTTCTTACCCACATTAAGTTCAGCGAACATGCATGGATAGCGCACTTTAACATTCACAACCATAAGCTGTCGGCGGAGGGGCGGGGGAGTCTCTTTCGGAGCATCAACCTTCACCGACGCGCGGCTGCAGACAGCCCGATGTCGCGCCTGGTGGTCTTGATCGGAGATTTCAATATCGGAGCAGAGCCACCTAGACATGTCCTTGATCACCCTGGGGAGCGACGAGCTGGGTCTCAGGATTGGGTCTCTCAGAGCGGTGGGCCCTGGCAGCGTATATTCAGAGAGCTCTTGGAACTTCAAGTCCCTGACCCCACGCATCATAACAGCTCTCAACACATCCTCACGTACATCGACCGTGTCTTCCTGTGTTTTCCTGGATGGAGTATGAATCAGCTTTGTGTGTCAGGACAGTGTCTAGAGATGGCGGAGGTCTTGGATGCGAAGGAGGTGTCCGACCGCGCTCCAATATATGTGCAGTTGTCCAGTAGCCCACGTCCGCAAGAAGATATTTCGATGCCCAAGGCTGTTTGTGAACATTCTGAGTTTCGGGCTTTCCCGGAAAGAGTCTGGAAACTGTCGGAAGGTGTTTCCCTGACCCCGCCCCTCCCCCTCGACTTCCGCACGCGGATGATCAGGGGGGCCGCTAGGCACGTCAGGAACCTGCTTATTAGGCGTCATCCTGGTGAGCTCTTTGCCCGCCACTTTGTTCTCAAGAGCATTGCCAGGGCAGCATGGCGTCAGGATGCTGAATTAGCTGGCCGTATCATCGGCTCGCACCCCCTCGGAGACCTGTATCTGACGCTCGACCCCTTCTCGGATGCTGCATCCCTGAAGACCCCCATCAAGTATATTCTCGGCTCCCAGAAGACCCACAAAGCCGCGGCCAGTAAGGGAGAGGACGGACTTCGGAGGCACCTAGAAGCTACCCCGCAAGAGACCCGCAAGAGCAAACTCAGACGCCGTCTCCGAGGCGTGGTTGCTCGAGCCAGGCTGTGGTCGCCCTTCGACCGCTTCATGTCTCCTGCTGCTGTTCGGCGCGCTGGTGGGGTCAGCACTTCGCCGTCTGAAAAGCTCTCGCACCTCGCGCAGTACTGGGGAGAAGTCCCCCGTGCTCGTCAGATTGATTCGCAACAGGCTGAAGTATATCTTGATTCACATGCTCATGAATATGTTCCCCAGAAGGACCTACCTCCTCCCACTGAACGGGGCATCCAGGGGACCTTGAAGGTTGCCATCAACAGTGCTCCTGGGCCTGATGGGGTTCCATATGCAGGCTGGCGTTTCCATCCCTATGGGTCTCAGATTCTCTACAGGTCTTGTGGTGGCTCTTATCGGGACAACGGCTTCTTCCTGGGTTCGACGATGTTGGAGGGGCGTTCGTTCCCAAGGGAACGGGGGAGGGGGGCTCCGAGGGCTCCATCACGAGGGGCGCGGGCTCCACCAGACCTCTTGGGCTGAAGGACAAATCCAACAATGCCCCCACCTCAGTAGCGATCCGCGGCCTCGGGAAGGCCACCAGTCAGTTCATCCGCCTCGTGCAGCGGGGGTTCATTCCTGGGCGGAACTTCGGGTCAACATTCTCGAATTGGATGCCCAGGCGCGCGTTGTGTCGCCCCGTCCTTCGCCATTGCTGAACATGCCAGCTCTTGTTACGTACGACTACGGCCAGGCCTTCCCGTCGATCTCCCAGGAATGGGTCTTCATGATTCTTCGCCGGCTGGGACTGCCCGGTCCTCTGCTTGGCTTCCTTGGGGCGATCTATGAGAATATTCTTTGCTGCGGTGTTGCAGGACATGTTCGTCTATTCCTCTATTGCATCGCCAGCGGTGCGCTGCAAGGCTGTCCTGCTTCTGGTGTGATATATGCGATCTCGTCTCATCCATTTCTTCGTCGCCTTCATCGGCTGGTCGAGCAATCCTCTCAGCGCGAGAGCTTGGCCAGAGCATGCGCTGATGATGTGGGTGGCGTGGTTCATGACAGATCCGTCCATTGACGCTTCAAGACCGTATTTGACGCCAGCTCTGAGATCGCGGGCCTCTCTATCAATGTGAAGAAATGCCGCATCGTGCCGCTCGCGGGCGCCTATGATGCCTCACTTCGCGACCGCGACTCCGAGTGGCTGGAGACGCACCTTCCTGAGTGGAAGGACTTCCAGATAGTGGACGCGGCGCTGTACCTGGGCATTGTTCT